CTGAGCAGGGAGCCCAATGCGGGACTCGATCCTGGGACTCCGGGATCATGACCTGAGCCGAAGGCAGTCGCTTAACCAACTGAGCCACCCAGGCGCCCGAAATCTTCAGATTTTTAAAATAACTCTTTCTTGGTATGATTTATGCCATTGAAGACATGTACAACAAGGTTCAGGAGTAAAGAGATTTAAGCAAACTATTTCAGTGTGTTCTATAAACCGAGCCAAACAAACAAACAAAAATCCACTGCAGAAAGTGTAAGGAGAGCTGTAAAATCACTCTCAACCTTGAAATTTATGCAAGATCATCAGCCAAGCTTCCTATAGACCCTGTCTCCTGTATCATTTGCCTACATCAACAATGTCTGGTATCACTTGCTAATTCAGGCCAGAATAAAAGACGATCCATGTAGAAATTACCTCTAGAGAAAGAAACTTGCCTCTGCTGGACCATTCTGGGCTCACACCATTTACCGCACAGTCACATCTGATTGCCTGCCTCTCTTCAGGGGGTCGAGGTGGAGCCACTTGGGGCTCGGTGGCTATTCAAAGTCTGAGGTCAGGTTTTTCAGAACAAAACAAAACTTTTCCAGTCCCAGTTTAATAATGATTATTCTGTGTTTTTGGCTTAGTAGCATTAAAAACCCAGCAAGGAGTCCTCTGGGAGAGAGAAAAGGACTATGAAGCCCTCCAAACCTCTGATCTATCTTCCTTCTTTCTCTCTCTCTCTCTCTCTGACACACGCGCACATGTGTGTGCACACATACACACACGTGCACACACACTTTCTCCCCCTCTATTCCAAGAGGAGCCCCTCCCTCCTCATACTGAGAGAAGCCCCTGGAATACCCTCCATCCTTGGGTTCTCTAAGCGTGAAGAACCCTTGGGAGCAATGCATATGCAAGAAGAGTTTGGAAAAGAGTGTCAAACTGCTCGTGCTATAAAGCCAAAAGCCTCCGGCAGGTTCTCCGTGGTGGAGGAGAAACAGCCACGGGGAAGGACTTCACACAAGGAGACGAGGAGGAGCAGCTGGGGAGGAGGTGGAAGTGGGTGACAAAGACATGGAGCCAGAAACAGAGCTGTGAGGAAGAAGGGGGAAAAAAGGCTGAGCAGCCGAAAGCTGGTGGTTAAAATAACTCGTGGTAACAGAGTGTTCTTTGTTACCACACACTGCTCTTTGTTATCACACATTACAGAAAGTTATAAACAACAGAAGCATGCCGTACACTAAAGCTGCTTTTCAAGCTCCGGGCTCTGGTGACCTAACAAAGTCCCTGGCTTCCCCCTTGTGTGGACGGATGCTCTTTCCAGAACACCATGTCAGGACTGTGGCCATTAATCGCTCCATCTCCACCGACACGCAGGAACCCTCTATACCATGTGGCATCGCGCTCCTTGCTGAGGTGCCTTTTGCGTTCACATTGATGTGGGTCAGAAAGATGCCGACAGGGCTGGCCCCATCTGCGAGGAAAAGTGACCGTCGAGTTCTACAGGCAGAGGGATGCAAAACTTTTCTGAGGGGATTAAAAAAGCCCAGAGAAAATGATCTCACTTGGGTTTATGCATAAAATTAGACACTCCACGGCAACAAGCAAACAGCTTGCCTGTGAAAGCAGTGGACAGACACAGCCCAGGTCCGGCGCTAGGAACGGACGCCCCGTGGCGGCTCTGAAGAACCTCCTCCCTCCCGCTGCCCTGATCACCATCTCTCCTGACTGCCATCCTTCCCTCCCACACGTGGCCTCTCGTCTCCCAAGCGCGGGGGCACCGAGGGGCATTCTGGTGGGAGGAGAGACGGTACGCCCAGCCCTACTTCTCCCCTGCCGCCACACGCCAGCCAGCGGAGCTGGGCAGGTCACCTCTGCCCGCTCCGAGGCCTTCCCCTCGGACCTCTCCTCCTCACCACGCCAGTCATCTCTGCCCTCAGAGGCCAACACGGACGTTCTCCCTGCCCAAGCTCTCTCTCAGCCTCCCCTCCAGCTGACTTCTCGCTCGCAGTGGGCAGACACTAAGGAGCCCTTCCTCCTCACTCGGTCCCCCCCAGGCTGTGCGACTCTAGACGGCCTAATCAATCACTTTTCCTCTACCACACAGGGCTTTTTATGTGCCCGCTATTTAAGAGGTGATGGTTTCTCAGGGTTGCCTTTTCTTCCTAGTTCTTCCTCCGCATCCTGAGAATGCTCGGTTTCTCCCTAGACCGCTGGCAAAGACCATACACAAAGGCTAATTCATCTACGAGTGCCCCTTAGCAGGAGGCCAGATCCTGAGCTGGGAGCATGCCTGATCCGTTCCTGTTATCCTCAAAGCCCGTCATTTGTCCTTCTGGGAGATCTCAGATCTGTTTTCTCTTCATCCCCACTGCCGCCTTCTCGTTTCATCCTGGCCAGGGTATAGCCAGAGTTATAACCTAACTGATCCCCACACTTCTACCTCCTCCCCTGTCCGTTCCAGCCTTCAGAGGACCACCAAAATGATCCTTCTGAAAGACAGTTACACCTCATATCCTTACCATGACTGTACTCCTTCAGCCACTTCCCTTTGCCCTTGCATGGATGAGGTCCAAATCTTGCAGGATGAGAAATTCGGTGCCCCTAATAATTTGGCCACAACCTCCAGACATATCTACCACTGCACATATCCTACACCCTAGCCCTACTAATAGACTCAACATATATTTTCAGTCTTCTCTTTCTCTGAGTATGTGGTTCTATTGGCCAAGGATTTACTTGCCTCTCCCTCAGCCCAGGGAAACCCGCATCCCCGAGTGCTAGCTAGAGGATCATGATCTCCGTGAAGCAACCTGGCACCACTGTAGGGTGGTGAGTCCTGTATTCCCTCCCTGAGTTATCAGAACACTTACCCCTTATCTCTATCATATCACTGAACATGTTATAGCCCAAGTCCTATCTTTATGTGTACCAGACTGTGAATGTTTCAGAGACCAGAGTCCTAGTCTTGGTATTCCCAGTACTTAACACAGCACCTGGCACATTTGTGGAGTGTTTACTACACTGTGTTGAAGGCAATGAAATTTCAAAAGAACCGATCAGCAACACATCTTTCACAATTAATCACACATGGGGAATTGTGAAAAGTGGGTGTCTCTAGAGAGAGAAAGTGATGGAATGTGTCAGGAGACAGACTTACTTTCCACTGCATATCCTTTTAATGAGTTTTAGGGGCTTTACCACCTATGTGCACTATTTTTTAACACAGTCTGAGGAGGTGCCTGGCACTGTGCATAGTGGGGATTTTAGGCATTGTGGAAACAACTTTACTAACCAAAGAAATTCATGAACTTGGGGAACTTGGGGTAACTTCTGTGTAGATTACCCTATCTTCCCGTCAACTCCCACAGAGCTGGGTTGTTCTTAGTTGCCGCATTCTGTACAGCCTGCTAACAGGATGATTTACGGACACGTCCTCCCTGCTGGGTCACGAGCCCTGAGGAGGCAGGGACTCTCTACTCCTCACCTTCACAGCCCCTACAAGTGTCCAGTGTAGTGCTCTGCACACACTTGGCTGGCAGTTTGTAACTGTTTAATTTAATTGGACTGACCACGAAAATATGGCAAAGTTTCAAATTTTAAAAAAAAGCAATAATTGTACTAGTTTGCTGCTAATAATCCATGTTAAGTGGAGGAAAGGAAGAGAAAACCTAAAATACTGCTAAGAGGTAACAGTGAAAATATTAGTTTTTTATGGTCAGATTGAGTACAGAGCTAGAATAGCTGTAAAAACATAACGTACTTTGATATTTTGCCATTCCTTATTTAGGTTGTAGATTCACATATATTATTCCTTCTCCACTTATCCTGGCAAAACGAGCATTGTCCTTTCATGTGAGAGCCCTGAATATATATGCACAGCCACCACTCTATGGAACCACTATCGGTAGAAGATGAGAGGAAGTTTTGAGATGAAAAGAGGAAAAGGAAAAATGGATTCTGAGATGATATCCTTATAAACAAAATAGGACAACAATCAGCAATTTCCAGGTAGATCTAAAACCTCACTCCCCTGGTGAAAACACTCCAACCAAATCCTTTCACGCCTGGGAAGCAGTGTGCGAGCCCCCCGCCGTGAAGAAGAACAGACCACGCAGGATGCGGACTCTGTCCTCACAAAGTGGAACAGACAGCTACCCTGACAATCACATTAAAAATTAGAAAACAATGCTCGCTTCAGCAGCACACACACTAAAACTGGAACAATACAGAGAATATTAGCATGGCCCTCACACAAGGATGACACATAAAAGTTAGAAAACAATAGGAAATTTAAGGAAAAAAAAAAAAAACAACAACAAGGATTCATACATATGAGATGAACATTCACTGAGCACCGAAGACAGAAATATGCAGTATCCATGTGTTTATGTCACGTGACCAGTACGGATCCTAAGGGGCCCCAATCCCGTCACATAGTCCAAGCCTCACCATTTTCTCCAGGAAGTCCTCCCCTTTCCTCCTCCCTACACACCCCCCCCACACACACACACAAAATTGCTCTCTCTGGCTGCTGAACAATCCAGAGATTTACCCAGCCCTGCTGGTCCCATTTCACCACTGTCCATTTTGTATTATGGTTAGTTACCATGGAGTCAGCCCAATGAACTTTAGATCACTTGCATAAAGTGAAGCTCATTCACCCACTAGTAAACTCTACTAGTTCATGCCCCATGGAACGCAGCTCACTGGCTAGACAAGGTCTGGTCACAGCATGGTAGATCTGGATTTGTCTTCTCTCCCCACATGCCCTACGAGAATTCTACTTCTCAAAGGGAATAAGAATAATGAATATGGGAAAGAGAAGATAGTTAAAGATAAGTTAGGGGCATATAGTTAAATCCTTCTTCTCGGGTCACTTGCAATAATTAATTGACCTGCTTCCTTTTGGAAACAAGTATTAGATTTTATTTTCCTTTGTAGTCCCATTGCTTAGCCCGATTATTCATATAAAACATATGCTTAATAAATAGTTGGTGATTCAGTTAGTTAATAAAGGGGAGAGAATGGTAAGAAAAATAAATGTTCTCAATTAGTACTCACTGAAATGAGAAATAAGTAAGGTCAATAGAAGTACAATTCTCCCTTACTTTGCCCATCCTAAGTGTGTCCTAAGTGATTCAATAAGGTGTCTGTCCCTTACCCCAAATTTGAAAGGATATTAAAAGTTCACAGGACACGGGCGCCTGGGTGGCTCAGTTGGTTAAGCGACTGCCTTCGGCTCAGGTCATGATCCTGGAGTCCCGGGATCGAGTCCCCCATCAGGCTCTCTGCTCAGCAGGGAGTCTGCTTCTCCCTCTGACCCTCCCCCCTCTCATGCTCTCTGTCTCTCATTCTCTCTCTCTCAAATAAATAAATAAAATCTTTAAAAAAAAAAAAGCTGTAAAAGTTCACAGGACACACAGCAAAGGAAATAATCAACAAAACAAAAAGACAACCTACTGAATGGGAGAACATATATGCAAATGACAATATCCAATAAGGGGTTAATATAAAAAATATATAAAGAACTTATATGACTCAATTACACCACCAGCCCCCCAAATAATCCAATTAAAAATAGGCAGAAGACATGAACAGACATTTCTCCAAAGGAGACATCCAGATGGCCAACAGACACACAAAAAGATGTTCAATATCATCAATTATCAGGGAAATGCAAATCAAAGCTGCAATGAGATACCACCTCACACCTGTCAGAATGGCTAAAATCAACAACACAAGAAACAACAAGGGTTGGTGGGGATGTGGAGAAATATGAACTCTCGTGCACCGTTGGTGGGAATGCAAACTGGAAAACAGTATGGAGGTTTGCTAAAAATAGAATTACCAAATTCCATTACTGGGTATTTACCCAAAGAATACAAAAACATTAATTCAAAAAGATACATGCACCCCTATGTTATTGCAGCATTATTTACAAGAGCCAAATTATGGAAGCAGCCCAAGTGTCCGTTGAGAGATGAATGGATAAAGAAGATGTGGTGTGTGTGTGTATACATATATATATATATACACACAACAGAATATTACTCAACCATCAAGAAGAATGAAATCCTGCTATTTGCAATGACACTGACGGAGCTACAGTGTATTACACTAAGGCAAATAAGTCAGTGAAAGACAAATACCATATGATTTCACTCTTTGTGGAATTTAAGAAACAAACGAACAAAGAAAAATAGAGACAAACAAAAAGCAGACTTAAATACAGAGAACCACCTGGTGGTTACCAGAGGGGAAGCGGGGGGCGGGGGGGCGGGTGGTGAATGCATTTTAGATTGAATTCGCCTCAGTAAATATTTACTGAGTACCAACTATATATAGAGTGTGTTTCCGGGACAGAGAGGAAAGAGATAAATAAGACCTGTTCTTTCCCACAAGAATCTTACAATCTTACAATCTAGTATCATGTTCCTTGAGAACTGCAGTGCCTTTTACTATGATGCAAAAAAAACACAATTAAATTTCACAATATTTATAAAGTCATATGTTTTTAAATCATGGCCAAAAGAGATATACTGATACTCCTTTTCAAAAAGCACAAGTACTTCACTGCCAAATCCCACGCAGCAGCTTGCCAGTCCAAAAGGCCTCACCCCGAAAGGCCTGTCTTCAGTCCTCAGAAAGAAAATGAAATAGACAAGTCTTCAGGAGTTACCAGTGATTTAATTGTGACAAAAACATCTATATCCGTATGCCCATGTTAAAAAAAAAAGCTGGTGAAAAGGCTTATCCACCACAAATTCCTTCACACAAAATGTAAATGTTTGTTTCACTTTTATTTTTATGAACTGCTCCCAAAGATTTTGGTCTGGGCTAGTTTTCATGTCTCTTTATAACCCAGATATTCATTTCTGCCACAACAGTGGGACAGTTGAAACTCAGTTCTGTGGGGACACAGCACTCCATTTATAAAGAGGACAGAAACTGAGCTATTGCTCAGTTTAATACATTTATCTCAAAATTAAAAATGGAAATGCCTGAAGATTCTAATCTTGAATAGTGTATATTTTTCCCTTCACAAAAGTTTTAAGAAAAAACAAACATATGTGTGTCGGTGTCTGTTTGTATATTAAAGATAATACAAAACTATGTATTCACATACATAGCTTTAAGAATTCAAGCAACACATGACTAAAGGGGAAAGGACAACAGATCACTATTTCAAAACTATTAGGGAATTACTGAAGAAGAACATTGTTGAAACATAAAAATGTTAAAAACACAAAATTAAGCCATCAGGTGTCTTCCCTAATAAGGTAGTGAAGAAGGAAAAATCCATAGCTCCTTGTGATCAAAAAGAAGAGTATTTCTTCCTAGTCAAAGTGGCACCTCCCCGTACGTGTCATATTCTTGGCTTCAGGGGTGTTATGTCCAAGAATGCTGTTCTTTGTTTGGTCTCGTGTGTCCTGTGTCAATGAGAGATGGCCTGTCTGGGCTCCCAGGGACCTCGGGATACGTCCCTCCCATTCCCACCCCATGAGGGTCAGCGTGCTTCTTCCAGAAACATGTATGAGGCAGAGCTGTGGTACAGATGATCTGCACTGCCTCCTCCCTCCTACAGAGGCCCAGCACCCTCACCCTTTTCTAGAAAACACTACACTTCTCCTTATTGCTGGTTTCTTGCCTACAACCCCATCAGATCCAAAACTGTGGTCTTGGCTTAATCAATATTTGAGTTTAAGAAAACCCCTTACATTCATTCATATTGAGGATGATTACACGGGCTCACGCTCGATGAAAACAAAGCAAAACAAGACTTCATTACAGCTCCTGTGGTGTGTCCCAGAGAATTTGTATTTTAACCTTCTCTGGGACTTAAAAAGAAAATTAGGTAGACTCGGGTGAGGAGACCTAAGAGCGGAAGGAAAGAAGAAAACTTCTGAGTCCACTGAAGCTCAGTTCCTTGAACAGCGTATTTAACCTCTCTGTGCCTTAGCTTCCAGTCATAAAAAGAGGATGATAATATCTACGGAGTTATTGTGAGTGAAGGGAATATGCGGGAAATGTTTGCAAGAGTTGCGCACAGTAAGCATTTCTTCCACTTAACCTTAGAGTGATTGAAATTTTAAAAAATGTAGTATTAATGGTAATAAGCATACAGATAACTGACTATAAGGTAGGCACTCGGTTAAGCCACATACACCCATGCCCACATATGTACATATGTACATACGTATATTTAGTTATCCTCATTTACAGATGACAAAACTGAGGCACGGAGTATGTGAGCAACATGTTGAGCAGCTGAGTCATGATTTAAACCCAGGCAGTGTGGCTCCAGAGCCCCTGCACTTAATCACTCTGCTGTGCTGCCTAAAAAAGTGTTAAAACAATGAATGAATGTTCCTGCTGGAAAAATACAGAAAAGAGTCAATGACCTTGACCCTCCTGTTTTCAATGAGCAGGGACAGTTCTTGCAAAGTGCGCACAAAGGGAGGACAAAGGCATGTGGAGGGCAGGGGAGGGCCAACTCAGTGTTCCCTCTCTGCAGGCCTGGCAGGGGTTTTCCAGCCCGAGTCAGAACACAAGAGTGGCCTAAAGATACAAGAAAGAACTCAGGGTTTTGGCCCTAATTCCAAAGTCTCTTAGTTTTCAGCAAGTTTTAAACAGACAAGGAACAAATGCTTATCATGGGCTTGGCCTTCTGCGGTACCATGAGGGACAGTAAATAATCAGGATATTGGTCTTGAAGAAGCTTACAGGAGGCCAAGGTATCTTCCACTTCCCTCCAAACCCAGCTGTGAGGCTGACCTACCCATCTACAACTTTTCTGGACTGCGGTGGGTCTAGTGGACTCAGTAATGCTCAACATCCTGCAACTGAACTTGAGGCTATTTCAGGTCAAAGACATACTCGTTGGTCACAACAGGATGAGTTGACCAGAGGCCTTATCAATCCATCAATATCCCTAAGGTCTTACCCCATAAAATCCCACTCCAAAAACCTAGGAATTTTAGGTCAACTGTGTGTTGAATCAGTGTTTTGCTATTGACTAATACTTGGGAGTGATTCATTGTTTTTCTCATCCTGTTTGAACCCAATTTCCTGTCAATGTCTCAACTTTTGGCCCTTCTAGATCACCTTTTCAGGGGCTGCTTCCCATAAAAGACTTTAAGCAATCTAAAATCTCAACCAACGATGGACAGAAAGAGATGGGGAAGAAACATGGTAGGGAAGACAGGCTGAGGAACAAGGGAGAAAATCAAAATGGGTCACTGGATTCTCAAAAAGATGAACATTTTTCATCTACCAGATCAGCAAATACTGT